TATTTTTTTCCAGAGTATACAAAACAATGATCAGGTTCAACTTGGATTGGTAAAAGAAATGTTCTATAAAGGCAAGCCCCAAAACAAGCGGTATCATTTTAAAGTTATCATATGCATGTGAGGAACAAAAGCGATAACTCTCTTTCTAGCTAGGGATGAATACATATTTCATGAAAGCTAGTTGCTTGTTACATTTGCCACTATGAGTAAAAATGTAGAAGCCTCATGTAGTAGCTCTCCTACTATTTCAATTCTATGAAATAAGGAGTTCAGAGACTTTCTTAACTTTAGTTTGTTCACTACAGTTTTATGTTACTGCTTCTGGCCTGTGTGAAGCTTCAAGTTGCATTGTTGAACTTTTTTCAGGTATAATATGATTTCAGCACCTTTTTCAAAAGATCAACTCTTTGATCATTTTCCACCCATACAGTTCCCTCACTGAAGGATCATATGGATTTTGGGTACTACTTTCTTCATCCCATTTGGCCTCCGTGTATTGGAATTTAATGATCCTCAAGATTGTATTCCTTGTCATTTCAGAGGTCTTTTTTGTTTGGTTAATTGGCTTTTGTTTGTCTGAGTCATAGTTATATTTATAGGATGCAGTAGTTCAGCTTTCTGAATTTAATGCCCTCTGTGTATCATTCCCAAGAAACATGGATCAGAGAGTTTCATCATTCATCCTAGAGATTGCTTCTTTATTCCATGAATTTTCTGAGAATAGGATGACACAGTAGATGTACATGGGAAATTATAAGTTTTATTGGGTGCTGTGATTGACATTCTGATTTATTTGCTTTCTATACATTCCTTTATCTAAAATCGTGGTGGGCTACTGAATCTAATTTCATATTGTTTTCATATTCATATTGTTTTCACTGGCCAAAGCAGTAACCTGTGCTATCACATACCTAGTAAAAGACAATACTACGTCACTGGATTTTGGCAGTCTCTATCAGTGAAGGATTTGTGTAATTTGTGACATGCAGATCTCTGGTTCAATCTTCATCCTGTATAATTTGTCAAATAATTGTATTTCTGCAATTATGGTCCCATTTAATAGCAGATAGACCTGCCCTAGATGGGATTCATAAGCATGTTTTGCTTATAAATCTCCCCATGTTCAGAAATTCTGCCATCATTCCCAAAATACATTCTGTATGGATACGTTCTAATCTTTATACTAAATGTTCAAAGAGCCTTCAAAATAGCTAGGCTTGGATAACTTAAAAGAAAAGCTTACTTGTGCATCCAAATTCCCTCTAGGGTTTTAGCCTTCAACTGTCCTGTATGGGTAGGTTAACATATTTCCATTTGAGACATGAAATAACATAATATCCATGATTTCCACAACCCCTGAGGAAACTTCTGTAATTCTCTCACCAAGCCCAAATTTGTATTTTAATGTCCTAGGACATTATAACAAATTGTATTCTTCCTTCGCTAATAAGTTTGTTTTGTTCTGTTTTGGTTTTTTGGTGCCTTTGAATCAGTGTTGGCTCCTGGTGACTGCCTGGACAAGTCCCTGCAGTTTTCTTGGCAAGGTTTTTCGGAAGCGGTTTGCCATTGCCTCCTTCCTAGGGCTGAGAGAAAGTGACTAGCCCAAGGTCACCCAGCTGGCTTCATGCCTAAGGCGGGACTAGAACTCATGGTCTCCCAGTTTCTAGCCTGGTGCCTTAACCTTTACACCAAACTGACTTCCAATAATAAAATAGTCCATCTTTTATTCAGTATAATGAATAGTTTGCAGAATGTTAAAAATGGATAACTTAAAGTATACTTTTCAATGTTGTGTCAGATGCTTTTAGTACCCTATCATGGAACAATAATGGCTACAGGGAGAATTTTTTAAAATACATATTTAAGCATAAAAAGTTGATTGTAATAAAAGTCGCTATCATATTAGCACCTTTTAGTGAATATGCAAAGAAAGCAGATTGTGGACACTTACTAAGATGGACAGAATGATAAAGGATGATTAGGAGTCTAGTGACCGTTTGAAAAAAGAAAAGGGCTGGGGGAGCTCTTCCACCATCCATTTAATCACTTTTACAAAGATATGATGATGATAAAGGTTATACTGTACTGATCTTTGCGTATCTAGTTTGGTCCAAAGAATATCTTTCTGAAAATGGAAATGGATCAGTCATATGGCTGAAATTTGTTGCATGATTGTTTGGCAGGATAGAGAGTGGGGGAAATAAAAGAACAGCAGTTACAGTGGATGTTTTTTATTTTTATCATAAACAGAAATGTTATTTTTTCTATAAATTTTATTAAAGAGGTATTCAACAGAATGAAAATAGTACAGATTTTAAGTTGAAAGTAAGAAGGATAAAGAAAACTAAAAAGTAAGTAGAAAGGCAAGAGAAGAAAGTTACAAAGAAGGGGCTTCCAATCTTAACAGCAGTTATAAATGTATTTATTTTTATTTATTTCATTTATTTATCAAATTTATATAGCCATATTTATATTTTATCCTCTCTCTAAGGTTACATCATAATTTCCTTCTTTCCATAATCTGCCCTTTCTAATCCAAAAATCACCAGTTCATTTTTTTCTTTTTCTCAGCAAAAAGTCCATAAGGGGTTTCTAGTTGCTAATAAATGTAGTAGTTGATCTTTCTCTAAGCAGACAAGTTAATTTTGCCACCTCTGCTAGTTCCATCATCTTCACCAACCATTCCTCCATTGTGGGTATTTCAGATACTTCTTTTCCCATTTTTGTGCATTTTTGTGCATATAATAGTCTCTCAACAGTAATCATATATAAGAATAGTCTTCCATGGCTCTTTTCTAATTGTCTATTAATCCTGGCAAAAAAAGTTCTAGGTTCGGTTGAATATTAATTTTTAAAATTCTTTGTATCGTGTGTATTTGAAGCCAAAATTTTCTGGCTTTTTTACAAGTCCACCAGGCTTGATAAAATGACCCTTCGTGTTGTCCACATTTCCAACATAGATTTGAAGTATCTTTATATATTCTACACAATTTTTCTGGAGTCATATACCAACAGTACATCATCTTAGAAAAATTCTTTTTTAGTTGTAACATAATGTAAATTTAAGTCTTTTTAACTACGTATTTTCCTATGATTCAATCAACATGTTATGACTAAAGTTATTAGCCAATTTTATCATATATTCTTTCACTTGTTCTTCGGTTTCAGATTTCAGTAAAAGTTTATACTTTTTAGCGATTGCATGTTCATCATTTTTACAGAGTTCAGCTTCACATTCTGACTTCTGCTGTTCAATTCCAAATGTCCAATTATCTACCGTCAATCCTTCTCTTAACTATGCATACGAAAACCATTGAAAACTAAATCCCTCTACAGCCAGCTGTTCTTTTGATTTCATCTTATATTCTCCATGTTCTTATTCTAAAAACTCTCCATAGGTTAACCACTTCTCTTTGCCTGCTGTTTCTTTCCTATAAAATGCTTCTTGTGCTAAGACCCATAAAGGCATTTTCAGGCACAGTCTGGGTTTATATCTATTCCATATTCTCAATATGACAGTTCTAATATAATGATTCTTATTTTACATTAACCTTAACTTTATCATAGCATAAAAATCCATGCCACCCAAACCTCAGATTGTGTCTTCTAGTTCTAAAATTCTCTTATTTCTCAGCAGAATCCACTCTTTCATCCAAACCAAGCATCAGGCTGCAAAATACAATTTCAAGTCAGGCAATTCTAATCCTCTTCTTTCCTTTGCATCTTAGAGGTTTTTTTAACCCTTGGGTTTTTTCCCCCTTGCCATACAAACTTAGATATATCTTTCTGCCATTGTTTAAATAGTACAACAGTTGTCAGAATAGGTAGTGTTTGAAACAAAAACATCATTCTAGGCAAAACATTCATTTTTATCGCAGAAATTCTCCCCAACAATGATAATTGTAATGTTATCTTATAAAAAAACTCCATAATGCATATGGAAGCTTATATCATAATTTGGAGAGGGAGGTGTTGCTTTTAAATTTGGGGGGGGGAGTAGGGTATGGTACTATACCTAGTATTACTACTACCACCAGATTTTGGTACAACTTGCAAGTAATTTTTCCACTCATTACCAAAGGATACACAATATAGTATATGCACATTTTTATATTAATCTCTGCAATATTGAATCATAGTTTTACAAGATATTAGTACAGATAGATTTCACACTTAGGATAGATAATTGTGAATAAACTATTCTGGGAAAGTAATGTCATGGAATATAGTTTGTAACCCTTACATAGGGGCCTTTTCTTTAGAAGGCATTATGCTAAAATAGTGGTAATGATGACTTCAAAATTAGGAAAGCTGACTGTCCTTGTCCATTGTAGAGTTTGATGTTTATGTGGCTATGTGCTTTCCATCACTTTTGGTAGGTAATTTGCAATATATTAGAGGCAGCTTGCAGATTAAGTAGTTAACATTATTAAATTCTGAAGGATGATGAAATACAGAAATGCATCCTGTTTTCAGTAGAGCACAGTCTTTTCCCTTTCTTATTTTTTCTTATAGAATATTTATGTATTTATTTAATTTCTCCCCCACCCATCTCCCCCCAATGGGGGACTCTGGGCAGTTCACACAAAACATTAAAACCTTAAATACATATAAATACATAAAACATAAAAATTTTAAAAAACATTACTAAAAAAGAGGAAGAGAGTCCAAGATGATGAAGGATCTGGGGCTGAATATGTGGGTAAAAATGCTTCAAACCCAAATCTATGTGGAGGTATCTTAATTACCCCATTTACTAGACGTGATTTTTAAAAAAGAAAAAGAAGCCTAAGCCAGAATCTGTTGTAAAAGAAATAACATCATTTGCTGCAATTTATATTAGTCAGTTGGATAGCAATATAAGTTTCCTATTTCCACAGATTCTCTTGACTATATTTAATTTTATCATAAAGAGTTGGTTTCAGCAGTGGGAACATTAATTAGACTATATTGGAGCGACTTGTGTGTGTTTCGTAAAATATGCTTTATTTTAAAATTAGGGCTTCCTGTTGCAGCTGTTCCAGGAGCGCTGAGTCCTTTGGGTATTCCAAATGCTGCGGCGGCGGCCGCAGCAGCAGCAGCTGGCCGTGTGGGTATGCCTGGAGTTTCAACTGGTGGCAATACAGTCCTCTTGGTTAGCAATTTAAATGAAGAGGTTAGTGTATCTACTCTCTGTTCAGCATTCTTTTTTCCTTTATCATGCTTCATTTTTTGAACTTATGTACCTTTCTTATGTTGAGCTTGCTTCCACATCTTAAGATCAACCTTTTATTTCTTCATGTTACTCCAGATTGTGTTATAGCTGGATTCCAGTATATTCTATACTGTTAAATACTTTTGTTTTTGGAGGTAGCCAGCATTTTTAAAATACCCTTTCCTACCTATGTTTTGAGAGAGAGAGAGAGAGAGAGAACATTGCATGTTCTGGATATTTTTTAGTTTATTTTTACAAGTATCAGTGTGTTCCATTTTGAAACATAGAATTTAATGAAACTTCTATTTTGCTTTTGTATTTGCTCCTTTACTTATTCATTTCATGCTTACACATCTCTGCTCTTTTTGTTGTATTAATGTATGTGAACAACTCTAACAAATTTTTCTTTGAAGGTTCCTCCCAAAGATCTTGATGCGGCACTCTCCAATCTCTCTTAGTAATTTTTCTTTTCTTTTGCAGTTGCTATTCATTTTGTCTCCTTTTTTAAAAAAAAAACCTTCATTTTATTATTTCCTTAACTCTGAAGTCTAAGATACTTTTAGTTTTGCATTTTATTGCCTTGGATCTTTACTTTGACTTGCTGTGGAAGCTGGTATGAAATGTGGGATAGTTTGTATCAGTTTGTCTACTTTGAATATGTGTTCCATTTTACTGGCCTCTGTTTTAATATTGAACCATTATACTTCTCTCATTTTTGTCATTCATAGTCTTGCGTGTTAAAATGGTTGCATCAGAGTGCCATTTGAAAGACTTTTCCCTGCATTTCATAACCAGCCATGCTTATGCAGTTAAAGTTTAGAGGATTTTTTTCTTTTAAGTTTCTATTGCATGTTTTTTTTTCCACATTCAATTGAAATGTAATTTACTGTATGATATGGATGTACTTTACCCATATTTTTGTCTTGGGTGACTACATTTTACTCAGTTTTTCTTGTACAATACATAAACCAACCATTTTCTGACCAAATTCCTGCATTTCCTATGTACTGACCTATATTTTATTTTTTTTTTTTGTTCCCCACTTCCTTATTTTTCTTCTGCATTGCTGTTTCCCTTCCCCATTTCATCCTCCTCCCTTTGTGCTCACCTACCCTTTCCCTGTCTCTTCCCAAATTCCCACACCCTCCCCTGTCCTATCCTTTGCATTCCTTGTCTACAACCCCTGTCTCCATTCCCTATGTTCATGCTTCTGTGCTTGAACAAAATGTTCCTCGGACCAACTTGCCCCAATTAACCGCCTTGAACCATGATCCATGACCACCTCACCATTCTGCGGGAACCACCCTTCGTTATGGATGATCTGTTCATCTCCGCTCTTCCTCGACTCTTCTCTCTTCTTGTCTTATGCTGCTTGCTCTTCTCTCCTTCTAAAGATGGTTACGCCCCAAAGTCTGTTTACCCTCTTCGGTATGTTATCGTTAGCACTATACTTTTATTATTGATTTAATTATTTGTTTCACCTTAATTCTTATTTATAGTTAGCACTTTGGCTTAAAGTTGAATAGTAAATCTTTTGCTATTTTTCTTTTGCTATTTTTAAACTCCATAAATGCAAGCTTTTCTTTTAATGCATGTGATTTTATTTTGCATGGTCTTTTATTTAATACCATTCTCATAGCTTTGAGGGTATATCAAAAATGTCTTCCTTTTTTCAAAATCCACCTATTCAAAATCTTGTTCTTCTTATTCATTTGTGTGAATGCTGGAAGAAGTGAAAGACATGTCCGAATGTTTCATTGATGTTTGAAAATATTCTGTTTATCTATATTTAAAATACTATTTCTTTTGGGTTGCTTTTCTAATCCTAAAAAGGTGTTTATGGGGATGTACAGCGAGTGAAGATTTTATACAATAAGAAAGACAGTGCTCTTATACAGATGGCTGATGGAAACCAATCACAGCTTGGTGAGATTAACATGTTTTTTTCTTCCATGTACCATTTAATTCTTGATTTTCACTATTCTTTAAAATCATTTGGGAAACTGTTCATATTTCACAGTTTATAAAACCACAGGTTTTCTATGTGGGTGAATAAAGTAAAGTTGCCTGATATTTTTTGGAGATAGATAATTGTTTTCTGAACATGAGGCTCTACTATCAGACAGTACAATGAGGATTCAAATTTACTTTTCAGTGGGTGCAGGTACAGATTTTTTCTGGAGTTTTGTTCTTTATATCTCAACCCTGTATACCCATGAGATAATTTATTAATTGCATAGGCGGATGGGTAGGAAACAACAGAATATTGCAGACTTTCCTGCTCTTTTCTTCCCTAGTTATGTTAAATATAATTTTATCTTTAAGGAAGGGAAGGAGACTAATGAGGATAACTTGTTAACTTCCCTAGTTATGTTAAATATAATTTTATTTTCAAGAAAGAGAAGGAGAGTCAATATTTATGTATATGGCATGTTACATAAATTCTTTTACATTTTGCTCAAATTTAAAAAATGCACCATTGTTTACTGTTTGAATAAAAGAAAGTTCTGCTGAAACATTTCTATTTAGATTAATATCATAAAACTGATCTACCTAATTACTGGTAGTAATTAAATCATCTGGTTTGTATATTAAATGAGGCATTCTTTTTTTTTCTTTTGCTTTATGGAATACATGGTGCTGTGAAAAAAAGCTTGGAAATTAGTTTTACTTTTAAGTAGATACTAGTAGAAGTTGGAAGAGAAAGAATTCTAGACAAACCTGGAAAATCTGGAATGGAAAATGACCAGAGATGTCAACCTTCTTGCTTGTAGGGCCTTGCTTATAGAATGCCCTTCCCAAAGAGGCATGCCTCTATATTACTCTCTTTTCAGTACTAGGCATTCTAAGACATTCCTTTCGTCCAAGGATTTCTATACTATGGTATTCAGTTTGAGTTTAGATGCCTGCCATACACTGGAATGGTAGATTTACTCTGCTTTATTTCTCATGCTATTTCTTCATTATTGTGTTTTATTATTTACATTGTTTTCCTATTTTTTAAAACATTTTGAGAAACTTCCAGTATTTCAAGTAACTTTGATATTGGGCAGATGAGGAAAAAAAGTGTAGCTATATTTCATTTCTCCATTTAATAAAGGAAATTGCCATCAGAGGCTCTTTTTAAAATAATTATATCAAAAGTTTTATTGCTAAATTGATAGAAGAAAGACTAAAGCAAATTACTTCTATTATTTTTCTAGCTATGAGCCATCTTAATGGGCAGAAAATGTATGGCAAGATTATTCGTGTCACTCTTTCCAAACATCAAACAGTTCAGCTACCTCGAGAAGGTCTTGATGACCAAGGATTAACAAAAGATTTTGGCAATTCACCTCTTCATCGTTTCAAGAAGCCCGGTTCAAAAAACTTTCAAAATATTTTTCCTCCATCTGCAACTCTTCATTTATCTAATATTCCGTAAGTACTGGCTAACAAATTACTTGAAAAATTCATTTGAAAGCCAAATGTTAGCTTTTAATTCTTTCCTGACTCTCTTCTCTCTTTTATTTCTTCTTTTTGTAGACCATCAGTATCTGAAGATGACCTGCGCATGTTGTTTGCTAATACTGGAGGCACTGTGAAAGCATTTAAATTTTTTCAGTAAGCACATTTTCTTTGAAACTTCATTTAAAATGAGAGAGCAGCTGTCTTTGGTAAGAATAGGATTTATATTAAAACTTTCTAGTATTGTTTTCGTATCTAATTTCATTGCTTTGTTCCAGAAGAGATCACAAGATGGCTCTTCTTCAGATGTCAACAGTAGAAGAAGCTATCCAGGCTTTGATTGATCTGCATAATTACAATCTTGGAGAAAATCATCATCTGAGAGTTTCTTTTTCCAAATCAACCATTTGAAGGGAGATATCAAAATAATAAGGTTGTATCACATTGTTTAGTGTTGTCATCTATGACTGTTCGGGAAAGCGGGGACCAGAGATGGACATCTGTTTTTCATGCTGTTATCATTCCTTGATTGTTTATGTATAAATGAAACGAAAAAGGATTTACAAGGAAGAAGCAGTGATATTATCTGCTGGTTTTGCATATGTTTATGAAACCATTTTGTTTAAAGGGGATTCTGAGGAAATCCCATAGTTTTTCAACTTAGTTAACATACGTGCCTTAAAGAAGGAAAACTTAGAGTTGCATTTACTAGTTAAAAATTTGGTTGTTTGGGGCACATTATATGGGAATTAATAGGTGCAGTCCAGTGAATGTTAGGTTTGCATTTATTTCATTGAAATCAAAGAATTAAAACGTTGATTTCAGGGAATTTGCTGCACCTAACTTCTGCAGGATTATGCCAAATATGTATTAGGCAGGAGTGTGTAAAAAGGGTTAAGCTTTTTTTTTTTTCTTCTGTTTGGGATTTATTGGCTTTCCATGAATCATTTTTTTAAAAAAATCAGTTGCTCTTCTTAAAGAGAAATGCAGCATATTATTCTTTCTTTCAATAAAAATGGCCTTTGTATTTCAGATTTAGTTTAGTTGAAAATATAGGCTTTAGTTAGAACTACAAAGACGCAAAGAGTTAATTTCTTTAAAAGTCTGAAAAGTGATTCTTCTGTTTTTTTGTTTGTTCCTGTGGCTTTCAGCCTCAGTGGGAAAAGAGTTGTAAAGTCTTAACCTTTTTGTAAACACACTCTGGGGCGAATCATATAAATGTTGGCACTAAGTAATGTCTTGTTTGTGGCTGAATATTTTTTGTAGATGTTTTTTGAAGTTGACATAACTTACATGCATTTAAATATATATTGCCATTTTTAGTTAGTAATTACAATTTGAAATATGGTTGTGGATTTCTGAGCATGTTCAGACTGGTCTAGCTAGTTCAGGAGTTGGTGCATGTATTTCAAGGATGAAGAAAATGTATTGCAAACTTTTGCAGAAAGATTAATAATTTTTTGGCAGTTTTCTTTATAAAAAAAACAAAAACAAAACTGACAACCAGGTGGGACCAAAGTTTATGTGCCTTTAGTCTTAATTTACCTTGCATTGTAATATTCAGTTTTAATAAATCTCTTCAAAATATTTTATATCTAGAAATGGATCTGCCTTTACTATAAACATGGCTCAGAATCTACAGGAAAAAAAAAATTCATTTGAAAACAGTTCCTCTATCAATCTGGGCTGTTTTACTGATTCTGTTCAAATGACCAATACTTTTGCAATTGATGTACTTAGTTCCAAGAGTCATAGATTATGTTATCTATGTAGAAAAAGGTCATGTATATTTTCTATTAGTTGAGTTTTTACATCTTTAGAAATGTAATATTTCAGTATAGTTTGAAAGCGGCACAATTAAAAATTAATTTTCTAACAAAGTTGGGAGGTTTGATGGTTGTTTAATTTCTTCTTATGTGTACGCTGCTTGCCTCTGTAGCATGCTCAATAAACACTTCTGTAGCTCTGTATTCACCTCTTCTGTCTTTCTCTGCTGCCTTTTCTCTCTTTTCTTCTTTTTTTCCCACTTCCACTGTGCTTCTGAATTCATGTTTATTCTCTGTCAGGGTGGGAAAAGCATAATAAACTAATTTTATAACTTCTGGATTTATGCAATATGAAAATCAAATGCTGTGGAAAAAATAACAGTTTGGACAGCATACATACTTTGTACATTTGGAAGACTAACCACTTTGCTTATGGAAATTGATATTAAACATTTCCCACCCTGTTATATAACCTACAGCTTTAAAGACATAACTTTTTATTGTAGCTTGTAAGTTCTATCTTTTTTGTTTTTAAAATAGATTTATGCACTAATTGACTTTTCAGATTTGCCATGCTTCTGCTGCAGTTCATCTTCCATTTTCTGTGTCTGCTAAAAAGCCTTTCCACTAATCACAAGGTACTATGTGGGCTAAACACAAAACTGTCAAGTTGCTCAATGGAGGGATGGGAAGGAGGAAAAAAGATGGAGGGCAGACCTTGTCAACTCCTAAGTATAACTAAAAGGTGCTGAATATTATATTATCCTACTTTTTAGTAATTTAACTTGTTTTACACTACTTCAGATTCTTATTGTATATATTTCCCAAATTATTTTTAAAATATCAGAGAACTATATGTAGCACAATTTATTTTAAAGCTTGATTTTTGGTTTTTTATTTAAGCTAAGTCTCACTACACAATTATATATGATTGAGGTTTATTCATTTCACTGGGGTCTAACTTATAACTTTATACCAAAAATCCATGTTTAAATAACAACATATTGATGATTTGTTTGAGGGTCTTTAGGAAACTTGAACTAATTCAAATAACATATTAAAGAGTCATTTTACATGAACTCAAAGATAATATCAGGGACTTTTAAACATCATTATTCCCTAGTTACATGCCAGAACTTCTTCACTTGTGTGGGAGGACATAATCCCAATTAATAACTTGGCCAGTCTTCATATATGCCTGTGAATAGAATTTGAGAAACGGGGGAAAATATCTGGTAATGGTAAATTCCTTTCATCACCTAGCATTCACCAATAATGCAATATTTGTGTTTAAATATCTACATTGAAAGTTGTGTGTACTTTAATTTTTTTGATCTTTCAGAAAAAAAGTTAGGTGATTTATAATACAAAAGCAGACATTAATGTAAACCATACATGCTGTTCAAAGAATTTAATATAAAAGGCATCTTTTGTCATATAACATTTTCGGAAAAGCAACTCTCCCACATTCCTGCTAAACAAACTGTTTTGCATTGTGCAATAGATTGACTTGATTGCTTATAGGAGAAAAGACAAGTGGTGTACTGCAGAGTCACTTAGCTTTGCAAGGTGGATGTGGATGTGGAATAAACCCATTGCATTCATTCTGTGGTATTCCTCTTAGCCAGACTCTCTGCAAAGTGTCCAAGGCTGTAAAATCTGGAGATGGGTTTCTGGGCTAAAAAGCATACATTATATATGTTTTCTGTTAACTTCCCCTTTTATTCCTTGAAGTTTCAGCATTTTGCTGGCCTATGTTCTTTTATAAATATATAGGATTTAAATTTATGTTGGTCTTCCTTGAAACAAGAATGAAATAGGTGGGCATCTAAAACTAGAATTTTAGAATTTTAACAGAAGACTGTCTGCCAAACATGTTCCTTTCAAGGAGTTCCTGACTTGTCTTGCTGAAAACGTTTCCTTTCAGAGGGTAAAAGAAAGCACAAGAGAATCAACTATGGTTTCATTGATGCTAGCCAATAGGGAGAACTTAATAAAGAAAGTGGAAGTAGCTGGAACAGTTCTTAAGTTTAAGGAAAATTAAAGCTGAATGTGGCCCAACAATTACTTACATGATATATAAGATCATGTGCCCTGAACTGATGGCGTTCCTAAAAAAAGTTACCAATTGCAATTACAAATAATTCCAATGAAGAGAAAAAAAAGGAAGACAGCAAGAAAAACTGAAAAGTTTATTAAAGTTTTGAAAGTAAAGAGTGTATAGAAGAAGAAAGGTCAACAAGTCATTAAAGAAGAGTATATATAGGAAGCCAAGAATTATAGAAGATAGTCACAGAACAGTTACAGCCCAACAGTTGGCAATGGATGACAAAAACAATGGCAACACAACAAAATGTTTTCAGAAATGTTCAGAATATGAGTTAAACATTTTAAGTATAATAAGCCAGTATATCAGCTGCTTAATAAAGACAGCGTAACACTGACAGGTAGCAAAAAAAAGGTAGAACTATTGCTTACTAAATTTCCATATGTTACAAAATTGGATGTGATAGTAATACCTTGGAAAACAAAGTCAAAATGATCTTAATAGGTTAGAGAAAAAGACTGAAAATAACAGAATGAAATTAATAGAGACAAATTCAGAGTTATTCATTTAGACACATAGTTATACAGTAGGGGATACTGGGCTAGACAAGAGTACTTGGTGAAAAAGTTCTTGGAGGGTAGCTGACTAAAAATTAAATGGATGTCATCAGTGTAATACTGCCAGTTGTAAATTCAGCTGAATGAACAATATAGTTTCCAAATTGCAGGAAGTAATCATTCCACTTTATTTTCCATTGGTTAGACCTCAGCTCAAGTATTGTAGCAGTTCTGGCAGGACAGTTTAAGAAGAATTCAAACATTGGAACAGATTCAGAATAAGATTGTTCAGGATGATTTATACTATTAGAAACAAAGCCATATGAAGAGAGATTGAAGAAGCTGGACATGTTTAATTTTGAGAAGACTAAAGAGGGAATATGATACTAGCCTTCAAATATGTGAGGAAATACCACACAGAATGTCAAGATCTATCCTCAGTAGTTCCAGAGTACAGAATATGAAATTTTGGATTTATCTGTCACATTGGCTTTGCTTCATTGAAAAACAATTCAGGTGTTTGTGTTTCATTGGAAGTTTTGAAATATTTCTGTTGGTTTGACCTTAGAAAACAGTGGGAACTCAGAAAAAACCCTTCGCTCCCTTGCTTTTCTCCCCATGACCACAAGAATAAATAGGATGTCAGTTCATGCTCACTTCTAGGAACTAGCCAATCTTAGGAGAAATCAACCCTAATTTTATTTTTAAAAATATAATATTCAATAATATTTTATAGAAATTATATAGAAATAGTTTCCTATGCTGGCATTCAGTATGCCCTGGAGAAATACTGATAAAAGAGAACGTGAAGTGGGATTGGCCTGTTCTGTCACCCTTTCAGGTATCTTCACCAGTGCAGTCAGGCAGAAAGTGAATCCTAATTAGCCCAGAAACATAAATATTTCTTTCAAAAATCTGTTTAAACCTTTTAATGTACATTGCCTAAGCCTTACAGTCAACAGCATAGACTGTCTCAACCTGAATATTTACATGCAGATTCCATCTGAAAATTTATTTACCATATTCAGGGTTTTACTCTTTAGCTTGGCTCTGTCTGGTTGCCAAAAATAGGTCTGCAGTTTCTGCTTGATGGAATGAGAAAATTAGTAAAAGAAAGAAGTGCTGCTGTCCAAGAGAAAGAGACTGGATTACGGAAATACCCGATGTCTTCCATTTCTGGCTGCTTGCACTTATATCCTAAAATATTCAGGAGAAAACAAAAATACACTTGAGTTGTACAGATAGCGTCGCTCATCAAATTGTTGGGGGGGGGGTACTTGAATTAATAGAAGTGAATATGTGTAGCTCAGGGTTGAACTGTGGAGTCCTTGGGGTTCTCTGA